GTTTCATGTTAGTAAGCAAAATGCTTCTTAATTTTAAGTAACCTGATACTTTGCATATTTGTAAATTACAGGAAAAATGGTTTTTAATGTTATTGTCCAGCACTTTGCTGCTTGCAGTTTTACTCAGTGCTGTTCTTGCCTCAGCCACGTGTTACTGGGCGAGGTGGGTTTGCCTTTCTGGTGGAATGCTGGTATCTACTGCTTCTCTTGCAATCAGAAGATTAACATTTTGTACTCCCCAGCTGACACTTGCTGAATTTTCTGTATCACTATGCAGTATAGTCACGTACCGAGTGGCCATGTGACAGCCACGGCAAAGGAAGAACTGTGTTATATAAATAAAAATTGCTGAGTTGGCATATTTGGTCTCTGGAGGCTTTTTGGAGGAACATTCAACATTTTGGCTGGCATTCCATGAAAAGTTATAAATTATCCTTCCTCCCCTGGGTTCCCCTGACAGGCTTCGATCTCCATATGCAGTCTGAGGGCTTGTTATTGACAGGCTGTTAATTGATACAGCGAGACCAAAACATCCAAGTGCTGTGGCAGATAAGAGCAGGAGCAGTGTTTGCTGTTTGTTTGGCAGCACTGGGGTTTCTCAGTGCCTGGGGCAGGCACTGGCAGGGGAAGGTGGAACCAGAGGAGTTGTGGGTGTCTCAAGTGCTAAAGCACAGAACACTCATGGAACTTCTGAAATCAGCATGAGCTGTGTTCAGTTTTAAGGGACAATTCCACAGTACAGTATGGAAACAAATACATATTTTATTCAGTTATGTCACATCCATGCCAGCTGTTGAGTGTGGAATATGCAAACTGTCCAGACTTTGCTCTGAAGGTTTGTTATGGACTGGAAGTGCAGCAGGAATATCAGTGCTCACGTTGCTGTGTAAGGATCTTCCCCTCCCACCTGCTCCAGTGCAGCACAGCACATTCTTATCTCACCAATTAAATAACTTTATGGTCTGTATTCAAACTTGGGCTCTTCCTTTACCACAGGGCCATGACTCTGTAGTTAATCAGAAACGAGGGAGGCAAGTGCTCCCAGGGACAGCTGCCTTTCAAAACAAACCTGGAACTTCACAGTCTGTATCTGTTATTGGCTGTGGCAGAGGAACTCCCTGGGGACGTCACTGCAGTGACAGAGCTCACGTGGCTCTGGGCCTGTGTGGTGGGGGGATGGAGTGTTGCAGATCTGAGCACACCTTGAACCGGGTGTGGAGTTTGCTCCTGTCCTTGGTGGGGTCTGTAGCTCAAAAATGCTGCAGGGTGTTAAGGCTGCTTTTCCTGTAAAAGACCTTAATAGGTAATTCTAGTTTTGCAGGATGTGCAGGGGTAGGGGGATGTTTATTTTTGCTTCCCTCAAAGCTGATCTGACAGAATTAAAGGAATCAGTGCAGAGGTTCATTATTGGAGCAGTTTGGGAGGGTCAGATCTGGTCAAAGCTGTTCCCACAAGCTGCTGCCTGTGCTGCTGGGGCAGCTGGCCCACCCAGCTGCCATCCCACTGCTGGTCTCGGAATTCTCTCCTGTCACACAAGGTTCTGTGGGAGCAAACCTGCCCCCAGAGCATCCCATGTGTTCTGGGTAAGCATTGCCTCCCCAGGGGCCTGCTCACCAGGACCTGGGGAAATTGGAATGCTAATTGGAACTGCTGCTGCTGCACATTTTCCCCACCTTGCACAGTCTGCAGTGAGCTGGTGGAGTTGCACACATGGGCAGCCTCACTGGGCTGTCAGTGCAGGATTTCCTCTCATGTTTTGGGGAGAGCCTGCCATGACTGGTGGGCATTTGCTTTGTGTGCTGGGCCAGCCAAAATGGGTCAGATCTGCTTGTCAGCTCATGGGCTGTTGGGGGAAAGGAGGTCACACATGGGCCTGTTGAAGGTTTCCTGTGCTCAGGGGGTTCCCAGCCCTCATCCTGTGGGCTGTGTGCTGTTGAGCTCGGGGGGAGGCAGCTCCTCTGAGCAGCCCAGCCCACTCCCTGGGGCTCACTCTCCTCTCCCTGGCACCATGGCCTGTGCCGCCCTTGCTCACTGGACTTCCACCTGAACCCAGCTGGTTCCTCCCATCAGGGGATTTCCAGGTTGTGGCTAGGTCAGTTCTAACTTTTTAAGGCATTTCCAGAGGCAGGAATCTGACCCGAGGTTCCTGTGCAGGCCATGGGAAAGAGGCTGGTGTGTAACAGGAGCACATGTGTGTGTGCCCTCAGGGGGGATATGCTGATGTCACCCACCTGGGGCTCCCATACACGGGAGCAGGTTCAGCATCAACCCACTGTGTTTCCCCAGTGCTGAGGCTGCTGCTCTTGCAGCAGAGAGGAAGAGGTGTCCCAAACACAGCAGCAGCTTTGCACTCTGTACCTCAAAGTTCTTTTGCAACACAGCCTTGCTGTAAGACAGAACTGCAGGAAGCGAGTAACTGCAAAATAAATGTTGCACCCAAGAGAACAGAAAGGTGCTGGGGAGGAGCTGGGTGCTGTCCCAGCGTGGTGGGAGGGGAGGCTGGTGCTGGAATGGGATGATGATGGCAGTGCTACCTGTGCAGGTGCTGTCAGCACTCACCCTCCAGCCATGTGTTTTTTCAGTCCTGTCACCTGCTTTCCTCAGGGATTAGGCCCTGAGGATTATATCCCTTGTACCCCCATGCTCCCCAAGGCCAGGGGCTGCCCCTCAGAGCCAAAGCCCTGCTGGCAGAGCAGCTGCCAGCTCAGCCTTTCTGAGGAAGCCACAGGCTGGGAGCAGGGAACAATATTGCACAAATACACTGGAGTAAACACAGCCTCGGGTTGAGCAATAGGTCAGGAGGATTTGCATGGTGTGGTGGCCTGGGAAAGGTTTCTGTGGCCTGGGAAATGTTCTGTGGCCTGTGAGGCGGCTCTTCCCTCTCTGGGGACAGGGTGGTCAGGGGCAGGGAGAGCTGGTGGCTGCAGCTGATGCTGTTTGATGTCACCCTCCACCTCCTGAGCCGTGTCCCTGTCCCTGTGGGGCTGGCTGGGGATTTCCAGCCCAAGGATTGCCACGGGAGAGGTGAACAGTGGCTGCAGGGGGGACGGGACCTCATCCCGACACTGCGGAGCTGCTGTGGGACATGGGCAGTGCTCCCACTGTCTCTTTGTCTGGATGCCTCTGATCCCTGCAGGAGAGGGATGTTTGAGGCTGCAGTGCTGTCCCCAGAGCAGTTCATTTGCAGGACCTGGTTCATTTTGGTGTTCCTGAGCAGCGTGGGGCTGTGCCCCCTCAGCCAGGTGGGTGTGGGTGAGTCAGGCCGCTGCTATTTGTGTTGCATCAGTTCCCTGGTGTGGGAGCTGCACGGACACGTTGGATGGATCCTGCTGATCCCTGCCTGCTGCAGGAGCCTGTCCCCAGCCCTTGCCACAGGTGGGTGCTGGTCCCTGCTCTGCTTCAGTGAGAGCTCATCCTGTCCCCCTCCCCAAAGAGCTGGGACCTGGGGGTGCCGCTGTCCCAGCTCTGCCGGGGAAAGACCAGGTGGACACAACCGCTGGGAAGCAGCCGCCTGTATTGAACAGCCCCAGCACAGTGGGGACCCCGGGGTGGGGGCAGGACACAGCCCCTCTGTGCTCAGCCACTCCTGGGCACGGGGAGGCCCCTCAGCCCTGCTCCGAACGGGACCAGAGCTCCCAGGGCTCATCATCTGGGGGATGAGGGGGGAGCCACTGTCAGGAGAGCTGGCCCAGCCCTGCAGCACGTGCAGAGCTGCTGACGGAGGGGCCGGGTCTGGCCCACGAGGAAGTCAAGGGGTGAGTTTTGCAATCCATTGCTCCAGCAGCTCCAGCTTGTGCAAAGTGTCTGTGGCCACTGGTGAGCAGACTCCTTGTTCCCGGAACCTCCCAACAAGGTGCAGTAGATCAGGAGGATGCTCTTCAGTGGGCTCCACCAGAGCCAGCCCCACCAGGGCACAGTCAGCCCTGGGGTGGCCCTGGGCAGGGGGGTGGCTGTGACTCCTCCTGGGGCAGCCCCAGGGCCAGCAGCTCACCCTGACCTGCCCCTCGGCTGGTTCCTGCTCCTAAGGAATGGCTGCAGTTCTGCTGGATGGGGCCAGGCCTGGCTGGCACCGACGGGTGGAGGCACATACAGGGACACAGCAAAACAGCTGGGACTGCACCATCCTGGCCTGTGTCCTGAGCAGCCTGGGCAGGGAGGGACGTGTGGCTCCTTGGTGACTCGCTGATGCCCTGCTCACACCTTCACTTAGGCTGGGTGGTGCCGTGTGGTTGCCACAGTGGCTCTGTCCACCGGCGTCCTGGGACAGAGCACAGGGGCGAGAGGGGATGTGATGGCCAGAGCTCTGCCGAGTGTGGGAGCACCCAGCCAGGCTCCTGGTGGGAAGTCATGCAGAGAACTGGGAGCTTTTCCTGGCCCCCTGCTCCCAAATACCCCCCAGGGCACCCCAGTGCCACCCAATGCCCAGGAGGGGAACTAGTGGGCTCCCCATGCTCCCCATATTGCCCCATCCCCAGCTCTGGTGGCAGGTCCCTGCTCCCTGTGCCCCCTCCAGTCCCCAGCTGTACCTTCTGGGCTCACCTTCTGGGCTCTCTCCCTCGCTCCCACTGGCACTTTGATCCTCCACCTCCTCCAGCAGCTCGGGGCTGTCGCTGCGGTTCCATTGCCATGGCAGCTCCTGCAGCTGGGACAGGGTGTGACGGGCTGGGCTGCCAGAGGGGGCTGGGGGGGCTGGGACCCCACGGGGCACTCACCCGCTGGCGAAGGCTCTGTTGTTCCCGCAGCAGCTCCAGGAACCGGCTGCTCCACAGCAGCTTCTCTGCCCCCAGCTCCGTGCAGAGGAAGCGGACGTCGGCCTCCAGCCCCTCCAGCCTCTCCAGCACGGCCTCACTGGCATCCCCGTGCCCCTGCCACTGCGCCACTGCCCCGGCACCACAGCTCAGCTGCTGCCAGCACCCTCTGCCACCTGCCAGCCCCAGCCTCTGCCCCAGGGACATCCCCAGGCTGGGGACTCACCTGCCTGCCCAGGCTCCAGCGCAGAATCGGAGCTCCCATTCTCCTCCTCCTCCTCCTCGCTCCCCTCCAGTCTCAGCTGCAGCGATGTTCTGAGCTGGAAGTCAACATGGACAGTGGGGACTGACACATCCATGGGCAGCCAAGCCTGGATGGCCTCTGGCACTGACCCTGCCAGGGGAACTCCCCTGGTGCCACTCAGTGAACTCTGTCACCGGGCTCGGCCATGTCCCAAGAGTTGGCAAATGGCACAGTCCCTGTGGTGTGGGGCACGTTGGGGGATTTACCTCCTCTGTGACCTGGAAGGCACTGTCCCAGCAGCTCTTGTAGCAGATCAGCAGGACCTGGGGAAGAGAACAGCTCACATCTGCTCTGCGGAGTGCAGAGCCTGGAGTGATGTCCCCATGTCCCCAGGGCTGTTGGTGGGCAGAACCATACAGTGCCTTGAGCCAAGAGCCAGCCCCCGCAGGACAAGGGCCCCAATCCCGCAGCTGCGCTACCAGATGGTGTGGTGACACGGTGACACGGTGACACCCCCCAGCTGCCCCAGTTGCACCAAACCACAGTCCCCAGCACCACTGGTGCAGAGGTTGCAGCCCAGCAGCCCTCCGGCCCCCAGACACACCACGTTAGAGCTGACACGTGGGGGTCCCTGGGAAGGGCCCCGCGGTACCGACCCACGAGAGCCTCCAGAGCCAGCGCAGCCCCCGCAGCGCCGTCCCGCAGAGCCACAGCAGCCACCAGCACCCGGCACGCAGGGGCCGCCCCCACCACGGCCCCGGGGGGCTGCGCTGCCGGCCCATGGCACCCCCGGAGCAGGACACGGAGGGGACGGCCCTGCAGGCCCCGAGCCCACGCCTCGCTCTGTGCGATGGAGGGTTGGGTGGCAGCCGCCCGGTGCCACCACACGCCAGTGCCTGTCCCAGCTCGCCACCTGCCAGGACAACGAGAGGGAGCCTGAACGTCTGTGGGGCCAGATCCCCTCACGAGGGACACGCGCTCGGCAGGGACCCCCGGGCCCCCTCCCCTCTGCCCCCTTACCCAGCCATGCGCTGCCTCCTGTCCTGCCCGGTGACAACCCTCGGCCCAGATGAACTCCTGCCTAATCCTCTTGGTGACGAGGCTGCGCAGGGATTAGCGTTTCCCTGCTCCACCTTTGGGGGCCATAAGGACAGTGGCTGCTCTGCAATCCTTGTTTTCTGTGCTCAGGATCCATCTTTCACAAGCAAAGGACTTGGAATTTATTTCTAACCTCTACTTTTGGCTTTCGTGAGCATTTGGGTAAAGCCTGTGCAGCTCTGAATCCTGTGCCCAGGCACTGGCCATCCTGGGGGTCTTTAGTCACTCAGGCTCTTTAGGAAGGAAAATAGAAATCTTCAGAAATCAAATGGAGGTTTTAGGCACAAGTGTCGGAGTCAGCGGGCGGCTGCTGAGTGGCAGGACCTGGCAGGGAACAGCTGTGCCTTTAACTGAACCAAGCATTTGCCATTTTGCTTTCTAATCAATGTGCTCCCCCCAGGCTGCTGCCATCAGACAGGGGCCTCGGCAGAACAGGCTGTCCCCTCCCTCGGTGACAAACGCTGCCGGAGGCGGGACTGGCTGCGGTTCCCCCTTGTCCCTGCAGCACCCCCACGTGTCACAGGGAACGTGGAGCTGCCTGACCCTGTCACACAGCCCGCCCGCACACAGGGCTCCGAGCTACACCAGCCCTTTGCTGCTGCTCAAAAATGTTCTGCCCAGAAAAGCCTGTCAGCTTTCCTCAAGGTCAGAGGTGCAGCAGAGACTTCAGCCATCCCTGCTTTTGTACCGAGGGCAGGGAATCAAAACCATCAGCTGAGAGTTCTCTTTTCCAAAACTGTAGAGCAGCAAGGCCTGTTTCCTAGATCTTCCACCCCCCTGTATTTAACCTCTGTAATTTAAAACACACAGAAGTAGGCCAGCTTTGCAGCTTGGCCTTTAAGCTGCTCCACCCCAACCCCCCCCACTCCCTGCTGTGGAGAAGCAGCCACCAGCCCCAAGCACAGAGAGCAGGTCCCTGTGGGATAAACCAGCCCCTGACCAGACACACTCCCTGTGGGATAAACCAGTTCCTGAGCAGAGACACAGCTCCCTGTGGGATAAGCCCCTCCTGAGCAGAGACACACTCCCTGTGGTGTAAGCCAGTCCCTGAGCAGAGACACAGCTCCCTGAGGGATAAACCAGCTCCATCCAGGAACAAACACAGAGCTGTCTTGATCCCGGACCAGACCCAGCTCGAGGGAGAACTCTGCTCCTGTGCCTCCACCTTCACTCAGGTCCTGCCCTGCATGGACTGGGGTGCCTGGAGGGAGCTGAGAACGACCCCAGGGGATCAGAGGAGCAGCAGAACGGATGAACCCTTGGCTGTTTCAAGGGCCACACACACTCTGAGGGCTCAGTGACACCCCTGTCCCAAGGCCCCTTTCCCAAGGCTCTCCCCATCAGCAGGGGTTACACAAATACACAGCAGCACCACAACAGCAACTCCCCACCCTGAGGGAAGCAAAGCTCAGTTCCACAGCAGCACCAAGGTCCTGACCCGGGGGCTGTGAGCAGCACCTGGCCCTCACCCCTCTGCACTGCTCCAGGGACAATCCCACCAGCTCATCCCTGATCCACGGGCAATCTGCCAGCAGCAGCAGAACCCAGGGACATCCCAGTCCTGCCTTGCACAGCTGGGGATTGGAGCCTGGCACTCCCTGCAGCCACAGCCACTCCTCAGTCACAGCCACCCGAGGAGAGAAAGCACCAAGGGAACCTCCCGGGGGCCACGGGACAAGGAACTGCTCCCGTGCCAACGGGGAAGACTCCAGCAAAGTCCTCATAAAACAGGTGGACAGTAAAAAGCACCAGGAGTCAAAGTTTGGACTGAACGAACCATGGGAAGAGACAAACATGGAACTTTTATTGTTTATGTACAAATGACAGAAGTTTGTATTAAAAAGAGAATCCACCCAAAGTCAGTGACAGCAAAGAGCAAGCTGGCTCTGAGCTCTGGCCCTTCCTACACCTAAATCACTGTGGAATCTTGGGAGATGGTGTTTAAAATGAAAGAGAAAAGGGTCAAACCACCTTCTCTGCTTGAGTAAGAATCAAACAAGCTGCTCCACAAAATGAAGAACCTTCCACTACACGGATTAAACAAAGAAACTCAAAGTCGACTTTTAACTATACACTTTGGCTTTAAAAAAACCACAATAAAACCAACAAAAAACCAAACCAAACCTACAAAGCTAAATATCAGCAACAAAAGTAATCTAAGTCTCACAACATGGATGGGACACACAATTCTACCCCAGTTTCAGTGGCAAAGGAAATGCCTCTCTGAGGGTCTGCAGGTGGCAGGGGGGCAGCAGCATCAGCCATTTCAGCAAGTTCCCGACCAAGGTGGAAGCACAGAACAGTCAGGAATTCAGGACTACTACTACTACCTACACCACCTTAGTCTTCCTGCAACTCAGGTGATTTAAAAATGACGCAAAGTACATGGTCCAGGATTTCCTCCCCCCATCCAAGTCCCTCAGAGTGAGTCACTCCAGCTGCAGCTGCCATCCTGCTTCAGGGCTTCTCAGTGGGGAGTCACAGACCAAAATCCTAGGAGCATCAGCACTCATGGCTCTAGTAGTCCTGCAGAGAAAGGACAGCACAGGCAGGTTAACACCTTCCCACCTCTGATTCTGCTCATGGAGTTGGGGGAGCTCAGTCCTCTCTCATCTCACACACCATTAGTTGCAGGCAAACCAGATTTTTTTTTCTTGTAGCTAAACATTGAAAAGGATGAAGCCTTCCAACCCCAAGCATCAACTCAAACCAGATGTTTTCGATGCTCCAGGTAATGACAAGGTAACAGGGTGCAAATCAGCTTTTTCCAGAAGTGCACAGGAGTTACCTGTGACCCTGTCTCAGAACAGCCCAGCTGGGCTCAGCTGCTGCTACAGCCACAGGACAGTGCTGATCTCACACTGTGACACTCCTCAAACAAGAACTTAAATGACAGCCCAGGGAGGGTTTTTTAAGCTTAGGAGTCAGGCAGCCCCTCGGGTGTAGAGTGAGCAATGAAAACACGGACAGAGCACAGATACTTACGGCTCTTGGCTTTTTGTTTAACTTGAGATCAATCCTGTGGTTGGAGAGACAAGAGAAACGTCCATGTCAATACCTGACCCGACACCAGAGCTACTGCACAGGGCACAGCTACGACAGAGACTACGGTTAATCCATCCATTCCCAACTGGCTGAGCCAGGGCGCTGTCCCAGGATTACTGGGAATGAGAGCAGCAGGAGAGTGGAGCCGTTATTATTTGCCAAAAAGCAGATTCCATCCACTCCCAGACAGAGTTAATCAAGGGGCACAATCAATCACAGGGCAGTTAGGCAGGTGAAGGGGGGACTACGCATGCTCTATGTTAATTTAATCTGTCAGGGGTGTAACTATGCCACAGGTAATTATCCAGACATAGTGGGAGGGTTATTTACTCGGATAGAGAGAGGAGTTAGGGTGACAGGGATTATATGAGCCAAAGGTATTGAGCTTAGTACATTTTTCCAGAAGGAAATATCGAAGTCTATACTAATCTCCTTAAGCAGCAAAGCCAGAAGAATCAGTTTTTAAACTAAGTTTTAAAGTTAAAAAGTTTTATCTATTTAAATATGAAACAGAAAGGTAAAGAAGAGTGAAGTTAATTTAATTTTTGCTGAAGTTATTAAATAAAATGTTACCTCCATCACGCTTTTCTGTTTTTAAAAAAAACTTCCCAGCCTAACCTAATATACATACCTACAATTAAACAGATAAACTAGGGGTTAGCGAGGTCTCAAAAGGCACATTGGTGTCTACACACTAACAACACAGCACAAGTACTAATTCAAGTCAAACTTACTCAAAGTCATAATCAAACATGCCAGACGGGCTGAGGGGCAGCATTTGAAAGGAAGAAAGCAATAGAAATTAATATACTAATGAATTAAATCAATTAGTTGATTAGCCACCCTAGCAAGATTGCTAAAAAATAAAATAAATAATAAAGCCAGTGTTCAAACGCCATCAAGTTCTTCAGGTATCTTAACCAGGACTGGGCACAAAAAGCACTCTGGAATGGCAATCCAGAGTCCCCCTCCCCACCGGATCTCTGGGAACAAGAGGTTAGCACAGAGGTGGGGTTGGCTTACAGAGGGGATTTTAGGAGCTGAGAGGGGCAGCTGCCAGACCCTGAGAGTGCAGAGCTCAGGGCTGGGAGAGGAACCCGTGGGCTTGGAAAACCAAAGAGGGGGGTCAGGGAGCAGGGGTGGGCTGGGCTGCCAGGGCAAGGCAAAGGTGGTTCAGGCAGAGGCGACAGAACTTGGTGCCCAACTCAGCACCAGGCTGTTCCTCCCCACACCCCCCCAGCTAACGAGGGACCAGAGTTATTTGGCCAGAGCTGATTAGTTTAGTGACAGTCCCACCCCTTCCACAGGTGCCACAGCACAGCCTTCAGACTCAGCTCTGCCCACAGCTGACACTGGCTGGGAAGGCTTGACCGTGGAACCCCATTTCAGCCCTGCTTTGCTAAGACCAAACACTTGTTAGCCATGGAAATGGCTGAGCACACAGAAAATACCCATCCTGGCCTCCCTGTGGTGCTGGAGGGAGCAGAGGGTGACAGCAGAGGCTCTGTAACCTCCACCCTGTGTGTAGCTGAAGCTGTGTCCCGTTGA